ATTTCCGAGATAAAGAAAGGGACACGGTCATAAATACTGAATAGAGGAAGCAACAGGACACACAGGCCAGAGATTTTCTCGTCAAAAGCATTCAGGGTCTGACATGGGTTTAAAAAAATCCCATCTTTGAAGTCACATTGAATATCAAATCTATTATACTGTTTGTTAAAAAATGGATTTGTCCTGAGATGGGAAAATGCTGCGGGGTCGAGACACAGATTGCTTTTCTTGATATAAGAAAGATCTGCCTTCTTTCAAAGATGCTACACTGGTTCTATTTCTGGTGAAACAAAATGTCCTTGTGGAGCCTTTCCTGACGTCTGATTTCATTCAGGACAATATGCCATTCAAAAAGCAAGAGGAAGAGAGGAATCAAAATGAATAAACTAATTATGTTAATGTCGTAAAAGTAGTATCAACCCAAGAGAAGACACAAATAATCCAAATCCATGCATTATCCAAGCATAGCTCAGTACATACTGTACATCCAGCTAAATAAATGAATAAAACATGTATATCTTGAGTCCTAACGCAGGATATTCACAGAGGAGACAGGAATCTATTTTAACCCATCGTCTATTTTAAAGTTATCCCAGAGACACGACTTCCTCCTCCTACTGAAATAAACCCAATGCTTTTTCCTCCACTTGTTTTCAAACATCAAAATATAACACACACAAAAAACACAGAAAAACTGGTGAGTGTAAAGAAAAGATTTCAGTTCAATGCTCCATTCTGATTGGTCAATTTGGACATTCCAAAGGTCAGTTACTTTTCGCTAACAGACCGTTGCTAAGGAGAACAGACTGTTGCTAAGGAAAACAGACCGTTGCTAAGGAGAACTGACCGTTGCTAAGGAGGATCAAGGGACTATATGCAGTTATATTAATCTGCAAAAATAAATATGGTCAATTTAACGTCAGCTGTCGCCAACAAACGTTTGTTTTCATCCATTAGAAAACATTGCAGAATACTTTTTGAATATTTGTTTATTCCTTTAGGATATTGTCAGTGTTTATTTCGATAAATGACCGTCTCAGAATGCCTTTATTCGTCCCACAGAGGGGACATTTACAATTATTACAGCAGAAAAGAGCCAAAGGTAGCTTAATGTCTCAATATATCGCTCAAGAGGCATGATTAAACAAAAGATCATATTGTCCCTTACTTGTGAGAGAAAGAGACAAAATACAATTGAAATCCTTCTGTAGTGAGTGACCCAGAACATTTGAAATCTACGTTCAGCAGAAAAGCTGACAGTCCTGGTATACAGTGTGTCCTATAGGAACTAATGATCAGCAGTAAAGCTTGCTGTGGGGCCTTCGCTTCCTTCCAGTCTCTTAAAAAGAACTCGACAGACTGTTATACCAACAACTACAGAAAATGCACTCCTAGTGGCCAACCGGTGGTACTACATCTTCTGTGTCAGTCACGTGATGTCAATGGCCCAAAAGATACTTGCTTACCACATCAACTTTAAACTAAGTACATAAACATTACAAAGTATGTCGTGGTTGCAGCTTGATACAACTTTTCCCATTGACTTACATTGAAAAAGCAAGTTTGAAAATCAGTGGAGAGTTTTTCTTGAGCTTCTCCAGACAAACACTTGTACCCTTTATTTAAATTGTAGGTTTTTAAAAGTTGTAAATGTGCTAAAATGCAAAACCAAAGTACAGGTATCTCTATAACTCGATGGAAAGTTGTCCCAATGTAAACCTAACTTTGGACTAAAGGTATTTCTTAACAGAGCAGTTACCTAAAATAGCAAATACCTGGATCAAAAGTCTTCTTCTTTCATTTCCAACACGAGTTATTGTTTTTGTCTGATAGCATCCATATTGTGTAAGCTTCCTTCACATTTCTGCAATTTTAAGACGAGTTATTGCAATCGATTCCTCCTCCAAGGTCCTTGTGTGATATCATTTTCACATTAACAAAAAACTGACAACAGAGTAATTCGTTTTCCAAATATTAAAATAATAAAAGTTCTTATCTGTAAGTGGTTCCAGATGGTTCCTCGCAGGTTGAATCGCTCGGATAGATAATAGTATAAAAGGAACAAACAGTCCTCAAAAATAAGCAATGGGAAGGCCAAAACATTTCCTTTGTTTTATAATACAGATGTCGGGGATATTTGTTAATTATGTGTAAAAACAAACATGTTTTGTCCAGACATTTGAAACTGCTGGGTTTGTTTGAAAGGATAACGGTTAGAGATGATTCATTATGGCGAAGATCCTGATAAATATCCATGCAGTCTGCTTCATCTACCTCCATATCCCAGTAGTATAACAAATGAATAGTACAGTTGAAGGTAGAGCGGTGTGCAGAAACGAGTCCAACACCCTGGAAACACCTTAGCATGATGACGTTTTTATGGTTCCCTCGTCTTGTAATAAAGCCTCACTTCAGAGAGTTGTTGAGGATGAGTGATTTGAGCTGTGTGTGTGTGTGTGTGTGTGTGTGTGTGTGTGTGTGTGTGTGTGTGTGTGTGTGTGTGTGTGTGTGTGTGTGTGTGTGTGATCCATTGTACTGCACCCTCTGTCTCTCACCACTAATGTACAGAACCGCAGTGTGATACACACTGAGAACATTAGAGAGAGGGAGCATCGATTTATGTCTGAAGTTAGATTACAATACACATCGGCTGCTGTGTGGGTGTGTGTGTGTGTGTGTGTGTGTGTGTGTGTGTGTGTGTGTGTGTGTGTGTGTGTGTGTGTGTGTGGGGGGGTGATAAAGCAGTGTTTTCTGTGAGATTGGTTGTCATCCACTCTGAAAAGTAACCATGTCTTCCATTCTTTGTTAACTGAGCACCCGCTGTGTTCGTCACACACACACACACACACACACACACACACACACACACACACACACACACACACACACACACACACACACACACACACACACACACACACACACCAACGCACACACTCAGACAAGCATGCAACACACACACACACACACACACACACACACACCAACACACACACTCAC